TCACCCCTCCAGCACAAGGAACGTTTCCCGGGTGACGCGAGTGTTCTCTCAACCTGCCCTTCCCCTAAGATGTGCACTTGGCTGTGTAATAAAACTTAGCTCCTCCTCCTGCTGGCTTGGGGAATGGCGACCGGGCATGGGCCTGGGAACTCCAGGCCAGCCCATTCTCGCTGCCACGGGAGGTGAGCCCTTAGGGCACGAAGGACAGGTGCGCGCAGGCCACAGGTGGAGGAGGCTCCAGGATCTCAACCCTACCCTGCTCTCCCCGTCACTCCCAATTCCAACTGCCTGGTTTGGGTGACAAAAAAAACAAAAATTGCTGTCTGTTTCGGTGACAATGACATTGGATCTGCTATTTCCCATTGGTCTAGGTTGCTGTGTTGTGTGTGTTTGGGTCTTTTAGTCCACAGGGCTGGCCACACCTCACGGCAGATTCCGCGACCCAGCACACAGCCTACCGGGTGCCTCACCCTGGGCCTGCTGAGGAGGACAGAGGGGACTCAAGTGGCACCTGAATTTGGGGCCGTTCTCTCATCTCAAACTTGGGGACTGGGCCTTGCGGGGGTCCCAGGGGTCGCGATTGCCAAGGGGGGGCATGCCCTGCGGTCTCTCCTGCCATGGAGGGGACCGGTATTGCTTGGGGACCCGGGGGCGCGGCTGGGACACCCCCACCTGCGCCCCATTTGGCTCCCCAGCTGCCGAACCTGCCCCGAATACTGCGCTGCAGAATTCATCAAATAACAAACACACGCTCACACCTGAACTGCCAATTAATGGGGGAGCGACCCTTTTCTCTTTTTTGTTTTTGAGACCAGGTCTTGCTTTGGTTGCCCAGGCTAGAGTGAGTGCAGTGGCATCAGACCTCCGCTCACAGCACCCTCTAGACAGTACTGGGGCTCACAACCGACCTCCTGCCTCAGCCCTCCCGAGTAGCTGGGACTCAGGCCATGCGCGCCACCAGCCCCGCTCATTTTTTATTATATTAAGTTGGCCCAATTAATTTCTTCTCCTATTTATATAGAGGACCATGGGTCCTCGCTCTGGCCCTCAGCTGTCTCGAACTCCTGACCTCGAGCGACTCCTGCCCGCCTCCGGCCTCCAGGAGTGTGGATGACAGGTGTCGGCGGTGCGAACGCGGGGACGAGCCACAGAAGCGGGTCCGCGTGCGACCCGCCGCGCTCCAGCCCCGCGGCCGCGCTCACCGCTCCAGCCTCATGCGTCTGCCGCTCGCTCGGGCGCAGGAGGGCGCCCGCCATCCGCGCCGCCGCGCGCGTCTGAGTCGCGGGGAGCGGCGGCTGGAGGAGGGCTGCGCGGCCAGCCCTCGCCCCCCGCGCCCCTGCCCGCCCGCCCACTCGGCCTCCCGCTCCCTGGGGACCCAGGGCGCCCCGACGGCGGTTTTCTGGGGGCCGGGCAAGCCGGGGCTGGGGGCGAGGTGGCACCCGGGGGAGGGGAAAGAGAGCGGGGCGAGAAGCGAGGGGCACGCCCTGGGGTGGCGAGGGGCCGACGGGGCAGCCCGGTGGGGGTGCAAGGGCGAGGGGGCAAGCCCGGAGAGAGGGGACAGGGACGGGGGCGAGAACGAGGGGCAGCCTGTGGGGGGGGGCGAGGGGAGCAGCCCCCGGGGAGGAGGCCAGGGAGCAGCTGGGGGGGGACGGACTAGGTGGCCAGCCCAGGGGAGGGGTCCCATGGTGCAAGGGGCAAGGGGGCAGCCCTGGGGCCGAGGGGCGAGGGCAGCCCGCGGGGGCGAGGGCGCGGGGGGGCAGCCCCGCGTGGGGGGGGGCGAGGGCGAGGGGGCAGCCCTCCAGGGGAGGGGTCCATGGGGGCAGGGGCCAAGGGGGGCAGCCCGCGGGGGCAGGAGGCCCAGCCTGGGTGGGGGGGGGCGAGGGGCAGCCGAGTTGGGGGGGTTGGGCTGCCAAACAAGAGGCCGACGTTCACCAGCCCCCTGCAAGGAGGGACGCAGGGCGGACACGGGGCAGGACGGGCGGCCAGAGCGGGGCAGACGCTGCCAGACCATCCCGCGCGGGGCCTCAGGGGAGCGGGGAGCAGAGACTGGGGGTGACACTGGAGCCTCATCCTTGGGGTTCCAGTGGGGTTCCTTCTGGCCCCACATCTCCCCTGCCCCAAACCCATCCCGCCTCTGATTCCGTTCTCTCTTTTTTTTTTTTGAGACAGAGTTCACTTCTGTTCCCAGGCTAGAGTGAGTGCCGGCCGTCAGCCTAGCTCACAGCAACACTCCAACTCCCTGGCTCAAGCGACCTCCTGCCATTCCAAGCCCCTCCAGTACTGGGGACTACAGCAATGCGCCCACATGGCGGCTAATTTTGGCATATATATTTAGTTGGCCAGATTAAAATTTTCTTTCTGGTTATAGTAGAGACAGGGTTCCCGTCTCGCTCTTGCTCAGGCTGGTTTCGAACTCCTGACCTTGAGCGATCCTCCCGCCTCGGCCTCCCAGAGTGCTGGGATGACAGGCGAGAGCCACCTCGCCCCTCCCCTTCTCTGGTTTTTTTAGGAAACTCACAATGTCGCCCATGATGATCCCAAACTCCTGGCCTCAATGATCCTCCCATCTCAGCCTCCCCTGTGGCCAACTGGGATGACAGAAGCAGCCGCCACGCCCCGCTCTCAATTTAGCTTCCGAAGTGTCTCTCCAAGGCAGCTCTTTCCCAGCCCAGCCTCCATCTCCAGCCTCCCAACCCTCACTCCCCGCCCCAGCTCCCCTCCCGCTCCGGGTAGCAGCACAGGCCGGCTCAGCCGCCGGCCGCTCCCTGGGTCCCCAGGGTCCCCTGACGCCCGGAAGGCACAGGCGGTGCCCACAACACCCGTCCCACGGCTCCCCACACCTGGTCACCGGGGCCTCGTCCCCACAACCTTGGCTGGGGCCGCCAGCCTCTTGGAGAGCCGGCCCTGCACCCCTAGGCCGGCGGGCCAGGTACTCCGTGTCCCAGCGCCCGCCTGGGGCTGCCGAGCCGGGCGTCCCCTCCTTCACCTGTCTGGTGCCCCGCGCAGGCGCAGAGCAGCCCTCAGTGTTTGCTGAATGAATGAATGAATGAATGAATGAATGAATGGATGGAAGGAGAGCGGGAGGGGCGGGCCGCCCTCCAAGCAGACCGGGTGGAGCTGTCACGGGCTTTCTCGAGCACAGAGAGCTGAGCACCTGGCGCAGGGTCCAGGGAGTGGGGCGGGGCCCTGAAGGCTCCCCAGGGACACTGGGGCTTTCCGGGCTGGGGCGGGAAGGCCGGGACTGCGGCCCCTCGGGAGCAAGACCCCAAGGGCGGGCCGGCCACCAGTGCACAACGAGCACGAGTCCCCCCGAACACCCGGCGCTCCTGGTGGCTCCAGTCCTGGAATCCCAGATGACAGCAGGGCCGTGGCTGTCCGGTCAACACCGAACTTTTCGGTCTTCCTTGCTGTTACACGTGGGGCTGTGCCACACTGTGCGGCCATGAAGATGTGACCAGGAGTGCCTTGAGTGAATCCTGGGATGTTTCCTTGGCACGAACCGCCTTCTCCTGTGCCTCCTCCAGTGGCTGGAATGTGGGTGCGATAGCTGGAGCACAAGCAGCCACCTTGGACCATGAGGTGGACCACCCCACCCACCGCCATGTGATGCCAATGGCATAGCAACAACGTAGAACAAGCTGGGGTCCCCAAAGAGTTCACGCCATTGCTCCTCCAGCCCTGGGTGACCTGTCTCCGGAGAAAGAGCTAAACCTCCATGTTTTGTTTAACTATTAGCCTAAGGGAGGAAAATGGAGCGGGAGTGACAGAAGACGACAGGGGGCGGGGAGGGGTCACAAGGGTGAGGTTGCACCAAGACCTAAAAGGAAGCAAGGGCCCAGATCATGCGAGAAGGTGGAGGAAAGGGGATACTCAGCACGTGCAAAGGCCCTGCGGTGGGAACGTGTGGTGGGTGAGGGGCACGGCAGAAAGCGTGGGCAGCCGGGGTTGGGGGAGGGGCTGATGTTGGGGGAGGTTGCCGGGGCGACAGGGAGGCTCGTGAGACGGGTGGTCTACGGCAGGGAGACCCCCTGCTCTTGGAGAGAGGAATGGGGGGCGGTGGACCCCGTGACCACCCCCTACCTTGCCCTTCTCGTCCCGGCCCCCTGCCCCAGCCTCTGCCCACAGCCCCGGGGCAGAGCCACCTGCCGTCCCCCCGGCCCACAGCTGGGCGCCCCCTCCCGCCCTCTCTGCTGTTTGTCAACTTGCTTCCGGCCAGGCCGCGCCCCACTTCCCCACTGTTGTCACATCTCGGTGACCCCCCGCAGGAGAACTGGAGGAAACTTCCCCTTCTGTGGTTTCGGCTCCCCTGCCCGCCCGCCCAGCTGCCGGGTGCCAACTCCAGGCCCCACACCAGAGCCCCTGAGCGCCCGCCCACCGGCCTCCCTCGACAGCCTCCCTCCCGAGGCGCCCCAAGCGGGGACAGCTGAAGGGTGGGCCCCGAGCAGACACACTCTCGGAAGACGCCGCAGCCCAGCGGCCCCTGGGCGTCTTCAAGGCTCTGAGCAGGCCTGCAGCACAGCAGGACGCAGTGGCCGCGGCTGGTGCCGGGCGTGAGGTCGGAGCTCAGGCCAGTGGGCGTCGAGTGGCTTCCCAATCTGTGCCCCTGCGGAACGACGTGTCCGCACCCTCGCCCCGGGACCTCAGAACGTGAGCTTGTTTGGAACAAAGGGCCTTGGCGGCTGTCACTCCTTCCGGGGGTCGGGAGACAAAATCACCAGGACAGTGGGGTGATCCCGAACCCGGGGACAGGGGCCTTTGTAAGAAAACAGACGGGCCGGGCGCGGTGGCTCACGCCTGTCATCCCTGCACTCTGGGAGGCCGAGGCGGGAGGATCGCTGGAGGTCGGGAGTTCGAGACCAGCCTGAGCAAAAGCGAGACCCCGTCTTTACTATAAATAGAAAGAAATTAGCTGGATAACTAAAAATATACAGGAAAAATTAGCCGGGCGTGGTAGCGCATGCCTGTAGTCCCAGCTCCTCGGGAGGCTGAGGCAGGAGGATCACTCGAGCCCAGGAGTCTGAGGTTGCTGTGAGCGAGGCTGACGCCACGGCACTCACTCTAGCCTGGGGAATGGAGTGAGACCCTGTCTCAAAAAAAAAAAAAAAAACCAAAACAACAGACGCGGAGGCTGCAGCCTCGGTGAGTCTCTCTGAGCCAAGCGACACCAAGGACTTGGGGCCACCAGGAGCCAGGAGTGACGCGGGACGGGTCTTCCCTTCGTTTTGGACTTGGGACGCCGCGGGCAACACCCTTCCGTTGCCTTCCGCCACCCGGGACGCCGCCCCGCGGTGCCCACGCCCTGGGGAGCAGCCCGTCTGCCCCACTGAGACCGGGCTGCGGGTCGCCCGGCCAGGCCGCCCCACCCAGCCCGCTGCCGCCAACGGCCGCGACACACCAGAGACTTCCAGCAACCCGACGTTTAATACCCGGGTCGCCCAGACCGCGGGCCGGCCCCGGGCAGGGCTGGTGGCCCGGCTGCGTCGCGGGCTCCCGGCGGGGCCCAGCCCCTCGGGCGAGCGTGGTGCCCGGCGCCCGCTACAAGGTGGAATGCTTCTCGAAGGGCACCGTCAGGAGCCGGGCGGCCGCCTCGTCCAGAAACCAGCAGAGTCTCCCGGTGTGGGGCTGCACCAGCGCGGCGGGCAGCGGGTTCGAGTCCTTGTCCTCCAGGATGCGCTGCGGGCACAGGGCAGGAGGTGAGGCCTCGAAACGCCAGGACGCCCTTCTTAGCCCTCCCGGCCTCAGTCACAAGGGACGGGGCCCTTTCTTCCTGCCACCTGCCACTGTCGGTTTATTTTGTGAGAGAGTCTCGCTCTGTCGCCCGGGCTAGAGTGAGTGACGTGGCGTCAGCCTCACTCACAGCAGCCTCCAACTCCTGGGCTCAAGCGATCCTCCTGCCTCAGCCTCCCCAGTAGCTGGGACTACAGGCATGCGCCACCATGCCTGGCTAATTTTTCCTATATATATATTAGTTGGCCAGTTAATTTCTTTGTATTTATAGTAGAGACGGGGTCTCGCTCTTGCTCAGGCTGGTTTCAAACTCCTGACCTCGGGCGATCTGCCCGCCTCGGCCTCCCAGAGTGCTGGGATGACAGGCGTGAGCCACCGAGCCCGGCCAGATTTAGTTTATTTTTAATACCATAATAAATTATATATTTTCCCAAAATATTATGTGTAATTGTACCTTTTATTTTTTTTTAATATTTTTTAAAATTTATTTATTTTTATTTTTTTTTCCTGGAGAAAAGGGAGTCCTTGGGTCAGTTCTGTCCAAACACTGTTGAACCAAGAGACAGAGCCACGGGACCACCCAACACGCTGCCTGTACTTCTATTTCTTTAATGCTATGTGATTTTTTTCCCCCCTCTTGATTGGCTTTATTAAGGGTTTATTAATCTTTTGGCCCTACTCAACTAAAAACTATCTAAAATGTTTTAAAAATATTTAAAAGTTTAAAAAAATATTAACCAACTCATTATTGTCTGATTTTACTTTCAGTTATTCCTTCCACCAACTTTTCTTAGATTTATAATACTGTTCTTTTTCTAACTCTACAGTAAAGTGTTTTATTTCTTTCAACGGTTCCCTATTTAATTAAAAAAAAAAATGCATTTTAATGCTATGAATTTGCCTCTGAGTGCAGCTTTGGCCTCACCCCATCAATTCCATTTCACAGCCATTCAATCCCATGCAGCCTGAAATCCCCCAGTTTCAATCTCCCCTTTGACACGAGAAGTACTGAATTATCTTTATGTTTTTGTTTTATAAATTTTTAATATTTAATCTTTTTTTTTCTTTTTTTTTTAAAGATTCTAGAGAAGTCCCTGGATGACTTGTCTTTAGATCTGACGTTTCCAGCAGGACAGCGACTGGGGCCATATCCTATCCCCGGGGCCCGCGACCTTCCTGGGACCGGAACCCCCAGCTGTTACCTTGAGAACAGCGGCCTTGCCTTCTCCGGTGGCCACGAAGATGACGGTCCGGGCCGCATTCAGGACGGGCAGCGTGAGGGTCACGCGCTGTGGAGGTGGCTTTGGGGAGTCACTGATGGGGGCCACAATTTTCTCTCGCTCCTGGGGGAGGAAGGCGGGCGGCGGAGACAGAGGTACAACGTCACTTGCAGTTCCCGAGCGCACACACACACTCGCCAGCCCGATGTGGCCGCCACCCCGTCCCGTCATCACAAGGCGCTGCTGGCTGGTTCACGGCCCGCGCCTCTAACCAGGTGACCTGGGGCTCGGCGGGGGGAGGGGGGGCTGCAGGCAGGCACGCGCGTTGGCAGAGGCTGCCCTGAGACCCGGCTGCTCTCGGGCGCCCGACCCCACAGGCGGCCCTCCCTCGGGAAGCTCAGGACGCCGGGGATGGGTCCAGCTGGGGCCCAGCGCGGGGCCACGCCATGGGGTGGCGGCGGGCGGCTCACCTGCAGCAGCGGGTGGTCCGGGAAGAGCGAGCAGGTGTGGCCGTCGGGGCCCACGCCCAGGATGAGCAGGTCGAACACGGGGATGGAGTCGCCCTGGAACGCCTTGGGGACCGGACAAAGCAGGCGGGAGGGCTCAGAGGACACCCGGGGACGGGCGTCCGAACTCGAAAGCAGTTGTGGCCCAGGAAACGGCGCCCGGCCCTGCTCGTGACCAAAGCCACGTGCCTATCGATGACGCCACTGTCCCCGGACGTGGGATTCCAGGCCCGTTACCCGGGCAACCGTGTCTAAGCCGCCCTCTGCCCCACCCCCACCCAGGGCCGTGGCCTTGCAGGGGTGAGGTGGGGGGGCTCCTCCAGGGTCCCGGACACCCCACCCCACCCCACACCCCCGGGCAGCTCCTGCTGGCGACAGCTGTGCAAGGCTGCTGCTCCGCTGCTGCCGGGGCGCGGCCACTTCACGGACGGGCGGACGGACGCCTCTCCCCGTCCCGCCCCGGGCTCACCTGCCTGAGCTTCCGGGCGTAGTCCTCGGCCGCCTGCTCCAGGGGCAGCGCGGGGTCAATGGTGATCACCTGGCTGTCGGGGATGGGCAGCCGGGAGAGCAGGTGCGTCTGCGGCAGACAGGGGCAGCGTCCCAACGGCGCTCTGACCGCCCCACCCTGACCCACCGGGACCCCTCGCGGACGGCGGAGACCGAGGCTCGGGGAGACTGGCACGCTGGCTCAAGGTCCCTTAGGTCGGTCCCCAAGCCCTGGGGGACGCCAGCTCTGGAGGAAGGGGCGGTTGGGGCCGGGCGGGAGGGTCCCTGGGGCGGGGGCTGGAGGCATGGGGCGGTTGGGGCCGGGCGGGAGGGTCCCTGGGGCGGGAGGGTGGCCCTCCGGGGCCGTTGGGAGTCACCGGGACTCCTAAGCCTGGGGCCGCCAGCGGGCGAAGGTGGCCCACGCGCCAGGGTGTCTGAAGCCCGTGGCGTTTGCAGGAAGACAGAGACACAGGAGTGTAGAGGCGATGAAGCCACCTACGAGAACAATCCTGAGATAGAGTTGTGCAACAGGCATAGAACAAGATGAGGCAGCTAGAGTGACCAAACGGCGAAACCAACATGTCAAGACGCTATCCAAGGACAGGGTGAGGACCATCAACGAATTCCAACAGTTGGGTACACTCGCGTCAGCCGGGCAACAGAGCGAGACTTGTCTTAAAATAAAAAACCTTTTTCTTTTTAAATTAGGAACAATGGTATTCTCAAGATGAAAACAACCTCTAGCAAAACGGTAAAGGAGGGAGGAAATTGCTACGATGTTTGGGAGGGGGCCGTCCCCCGATATGTTGGGGCCCACCGTGGAGAAGTGGGCGCTTCCTCCCGGGGCTCGCGGTGGGGGGCTGGCACCGACGAGACCCGCCCACGCGCAGAGCGTCTGGCGGCAGGGCAGCTGGAGGCAATGAGGGCGCAGCGACCGCGGCAGAGGTTGGCGCAGGGGAGGGACAGACGGAGCCCACGCTCGTCCCCTGGGGCCTGCAACCAGGGCACCGCTCGGTCGGCTTTACAAACCACCGGGAGGCCTGGTGTTCTTACAGTTCCGGAGGCCGGAGGCTGGGGTCCAGCTGTTGGCAGGGCCACGAGGGGGGCCCGCTCGCCTCGCCCAGCCCCTGGGGCTCCAGGAGCTCCTTGGCTTGTGGCCACGGGCTCCGGTCTCGCCTGCGGCCTCCTGTGGCCTCTGACTCTCGTGTGTCCTGCCGTCTCCTACCCACGCTGGCCTTGGATTTCGGGCTGCCCTGATCCACTGTGGCCTGTTCTTAACTAATTACACGTGTAAAGACCTCTTTTCTTTTCTTTTCTTTTTTTTCTTTTCTTTCTTTTCTTTCTTTTCTTTTCTTTTCTTTCTTTTCTTTTCTTTTCCTTTCTTTTTTCTTTTCTTTTCTCTCTCCTTCCTTCCTTCCCTCTCTTTTCTTTTCTTTCTTTCTCTTTCTTTTCTCTCTCTCTCTTCCTTCTTTCTTCCTTCCTTTGTTCCTTCCTCCTCTCGCTTTCCTGCTCTTCTCCTCCCTTCCTTCCTCCTCCCTCCCTCCCCCCTCCTCCTCTTCCTTCCTTCCTTCTTCCTTCCTTTCCTTCTTCCTTCTTCCTTCCTCCCTCCCCTCCTCCCTCCCTCCTCCTCCCTCTCCTTTCTCTTCCTCCTTCTCTCTCTCCCCCCTTCCTTTCTTTCCTTTCTTTCTTTTCCAGGGTCTTGTTCTGTTGCCTGGGGTAGAGAGCAGTGGTGTTATCTTAGCTCACAGCAACCTCAAACTCCTCCGCTCAGGCGATCCTCCTACCTCAGCCTCCCCAGTAGCTGGAACTACAGGGCATGTGCCACCATGCCCTGCTAATTTTTCTATTTTATGGTAGCAGACGGGTCTCGCTCTTGCTCAGGCTGGTCTCGAACTCCTGAGCTCGAGCGATCCTCCCGCCTCGGCCTCCCAGAGTGCTGGGATCACAGGCGTGAGCCACCGTGTCCAGCCAGCAAAGACCCCGTTTCAAAATAAGGTCATGCGCGTTCTGAGGTTCTGGGCGGACGCGAGTTTTGGGAGGACACAGAAGTGCTGCCCTCCTCAAGGAGGGGCCCCTGTGCACCTTGCAGCTAAGACTGAGTTTTCCTTCCTTGTCCACCTTCACCTTGGGCGCAAGCTTCGTGGGGGCGGGAGGGCTGGCCGGGCCTCCTTCCTGCAGCTCCACTCTCCCCGGAACCTGCCCAGCTGCCGCCGCCCCCGCCCCGGCTCCCTGCGCCCGGGATCGGTCCCGAGGGAGCCCCCAGGAGAAGCCCGGGAGGCAGAGGCAGGGGCGTCTCAGGGGGACAGGGCTGGCGCCCCGCACTTGCAGGAGGCTTGACCCCCGGTGCTGCCAGCTCTGCTGCCAGCCACACGCCCGGGCACCTGCTGTGTGTGGGCAGGCGCTGGCGTGGGCAGTGGGCCGGTGCAGGCAGGGGTGGCTGCTCGGAGGAGCGGCCTGAGGGATGGATGGGATTTCCCAGGCAGGGCAGGCAGGGTGAGCAGGCTGGCTTTCGTCCTGAGGGCTGAGGGCCCTGAGGCTCCAACCAGGCCCGTGCTGGGCCACTCCCGTGTGAAGATGGCAGTCTGCAAACGCCACGGGCTTCATCACTCCTGGGTGGGTTGGCCCCTTCGCCCGCTGGGCCGCCGCAGGCTTAGGAGTCCGGTGACTCCAACAGCCGGAGGCCCCTCCCCGCGCCCCAGCGGACCCTCCCGCCGGGCCCCACCGCCCCTGCCTTCCAGAGC